ATATATGTACGGTTTAGAGACGACCGACTGCGAAGAAACCATGTTAGTATTTCTTACATACACATAACGCGCCACAGACCGCGACCGTGGCATCCTGCCCAGCCCGTTTCATATTGAAATTTGAATTAAACATAACTTGCAACACCAAAAAGACATTTAACAGTAGAGTTTCCCGTCCGATTAATTTATAAAGGAATAAGAACATATTATCGGATCACGGCAGCCGTCTTCAAGATCTCACTTTCAGCACTACCTGAGTTGTCTGATTTGATTGACTCGGACTCAGACACGATGGCAACCCATTTAGAACGCGATGGGATTACCTTTGTTTATACTGCCCCGATATATGTAGCTTCTCCCACCTATTTACTTTGTTGTCTCCGGGTTTATATAAATGCCGCCTAAATGTGGTACCGAACAGTGTGCTATAATTATCAAGGGAATCTGAAAGGCAAATGAAAAAGAACTACATATATATATTATATAACCGTGGTCATGAGTCATGCATGAGTCATGACGGATTTACATATTGTATGTATTATATTTATGTAGATTAGGTTAATTTCGCTGTGATTGGCACCGCCGGCGCCAAGTCGCCTACTGTCTTTATGTTTGCATATTTACTGTTGAATTTAGGAGGCTATGTATTTATAATAAAAGAAAAAGAAATAGTGACATAGACACGTCTTGCAGTTTCAACAACCCTGAGTTCATTACATATGTCTTTCTCCGCAACCCTCAGTGTTTTAAGGCGAATCGCCAGCACCACTACACGCACCCGAACCCTGGTGGTGACACCTACGTATGCGGCGAAGATGAAGTATTCAGTACATACCCTATCTGTCCTCAGTTCTAAGCTGCCGATGTTTGGAGGGTATGTAAATGAATAAGCTCTTGAAGATACTGTGTCTCGGGGATTTTCGTCTATTGGAGTTGATAAATTTGCGCCTGACTCCAGGTAATAGTCTTGCCTTGCCTTTATATATATATATATATATAT